GACCTGAATCCTTCCATTTAAGAAGAATTAGCCTGCGTGCCAGGAGAGATGAGAAAGCCACTGCATTCATTTGATAAGAAGTTATCCCGTGTTGGTTTGGGAGTATACCAAAGACTGCTGTCATCGGATTGGGATCGATTGTTTTCCCACACACATACGAAAGAGCTTTAAAAACTAATTCCCAGAACCGGTTCAAATCAGAGCAGGTCCAGAACATATGGCTCATAGTGGCGGGTGATTGCTTGCACCTCGGACATCTATCATCAGAGGTATTGTATATTTTGGCTAGTTTAGCTTTGGTTAGGTACGCCCGGTGAAGAATTTTAAACTGTATTATACAATGCCGTATACAGATTGAGGATTCATGGATCCTGCTCACACTAAGGTCCCGTAGGTCATCTGGGATCTGAAGGTTTAAGTCCAGCTCCCAGGCGTTCCTGGCTGTGGACACAGAGTCTGCCTTTATATGCTGCAGTGTGCTATATATTTGAGAGATGTGGCCTCTAGCAATAAGTCGAGATTGCAGACATTCCTCAAGTGGACAGTCATTAGGTAGACTTGGATATGAAGTGTTTAACTGCAAAGCTACGCGCTTGTAAGTATCTAAAGAAGTGGTTCTTCGGGATTCCAAAATCTTTAGATTTCAAAGGATAGAAATGACCCTTTAACAAACAGATCAGAGAAGCAGATAATTCCTCTGCTGTACCAAACTTTGAACCCTGCATCGCTCTGAGCTGGTAAAAACAGATGATTTGATGCAACAGGGGAGCAGATGAGTGACCGCCTCAGCCCGAAATGTCGTCGACACTGAAACCAGACATTGAGAGAGTTCTTAACCACAGGATCTTTAAAATTAACATTGTGACTGACGGGTAGACTTGAACACATTATTGCAACAGGGGATATGGTGAGATGACCGTCTAGCTCCACAGTGGACCAAGGCGGCCCTCTGCCCTCCCTAAAAGCCTGCATCTAGGTGGATAATGTCACAATATTGGCAGCCCAATAATAATACATAAAGTCTGGTAGGGCCAGGCCGCCTTCTTCTTAGAGCACTGTGACAGGGATTTACGGACTCTTTTTTGTTGTTATTCTGCATATTTAACGCTCCTCTGGTACTCTTTCTGTTGTTTTGGAGCCTTTGAATATTCTTCTACTGTTTTATCCTCTTCGAGAGTCTGTATTCGTATTGTTCTTAATCGTTAATTTAAAAAAAAGGTTATCCTAAAAAAAACCCTACAAATAAAGTTTGAAAAAAAACGGAGGGGAGGGAGGGGTCATGTGACCTGCCGCTGTCATATGACCTGCTGTTTTCCTTCATCGTGGTGTGTCCAATTTATTTGCAGAGCACGAGCCCAGGTGAAGCAGGTGGACGCGCAGAGAAGAGGTGAGTGAAAGAGGGAGGTCTCCATTCAGAGGTCCGTTTGGATTCTGTCTGATTTAAGACGTTAAAGTTGATGCTGCGCGTGATAGTCCCCGTTTCCGGGTTTAAAATGTGTGTGAGAGTATCAGGGCTCGCACACACACTGCCTTCTGTTTCATGACAGTTAACGAGCACTCTGAGAAACTGATCGCTTTCTGATCGATAATCGAGCTGATTGTGGGTCGAAAACGTTTCGTGTTGAAACTGAAACCCGTTTCCGGTCGCTGAACAGTTATTCTGACACGAACTGCGTGTTTCTGCCAAACTCCGTTCAAAAAACTGCAAATGTAAATTTTCTTGGCGCATGCTCATTCACGTCCGAAAGTAAAGCGTCCAGATGAACAGAATCAACTTTTCAACCAAAACGTAACTTTTCGTTCATTCAGGGGGGAAGTAATCACGTGACTTCTGATCGATCCCCAATCAGAAAGTCTCGTGATCAGTCCGCGAACACAAACCTCACTTCCTGCTGAAATCACGTGTTTCGTGGCCGTCAGAGGAACCCACCAGTCTTCATTTAATTTCTGCCTAATTTAACGTGTGCGTGTGAGATCCTGCTGTGCTCGTGTTTCACAGGTTTACCTCAGAGAACGGGTGAACTTTGAACTTTGT